ATTACAACATTGCCCTCGCGCAGAGGGTCCGAAAGAATAATACAGTCCCAAATGAATAAATAATACAGTCCCTAATAAATAAAAAATCCTAATTAATTTACAAATTAAACTAAGAAAGCTGTAAACTAGCATGCAAGCTAGGGACTACCTCGACTCCACTTCGGATGATGAATGAAGCATGTCCGGGTTGCCTTGTGCGGAGAATCCCTTGCGATGCCCCGGTTTGCCTCTGTTTGCAATTGTTCTCGGGATGCGTGCCAAGCTTCGGAAGGCTGCTGATTCTTGATTTGCTGTAACAGAGAGCAAGAAAGGGGCATGGCAAAGTATTTTCACATATGTATGCATGACTACCCTTCAGGGAGTGTAGTCCTCGATCCTCGTGCCACCAATCACGTATCTCGATGCGTGATGGCCGAGGAGTCGAATTGTGCAACTCAATATAGAATGAATGCACATATGGACACAACAAGACCTAAACTCCATCATGGATAATCCGGAGTGTCGGTGACTGGGAATTGAGATACGTTCCGTCACTCGGAGTACGAAACGTACCTCGTTTCCTGTGCTCGGGCTAACTCCTATCCTAAGCACGATGCAATATGCATGATATGTATGGAATGCAACTAAGATACAACCTAACATGCACAATGCTATGAAATGACATACACGATGCATGAGGTAACATGGCATACGCAATGCACTAACATACAACCTAGCATACGCAATGCTACGAAATGAAATGGCATACACAATGCACGAGGTAACGTAGCATACGCAATGCGCTAACATACAACCTAGCATACGCAATGCTACGAAATGAAATGGCATACACAATGCATAATGGACTTACACCAACACAAGTGGACCTTAGCCACACTCACATAGGAGGCCATTAGATGAAAATGAGACACTCGAAATGCGTGCACACATGCACGCAAACCGAGGACCGATCCTAAGGCACCAAATGCCACTCTAACAAGACATGGCAAGGCATGAAATATGGCATACTAGCATGAAAATTTCAGTAGCAAAATAAGATGCAAAACAGCCCCGAAACATGGCAATATGGCACCCGATGCATGAAATAAGACCCGAAACGCGAAACTAGGCATGCGCAATGACCTATAGCTATACAAAACATGCATTATTTGAACATGAAGTGTGAAGACAGAATCAAGACAGCCCAAAAAAAAGAATATTTACAGTTTTAAGCAAAGCCAAAAACTGAACAAAAATAGGGCTAAGTTAACATGAAAAAATGGCCCCAAAAGAGAGATAATGAAGCAAGTAGCAGCTGCTGGCCCCAAATGGCCAAGATCCCTTCAACAAAGTTGAAGAGGGGCTCAAAATGAAGCACCTTACAGTTTACAACAAGCCACGGATCTAAACAAAAATAGGCCTAAAACATTGTGCAAGAAATGGGCCAAAAGGGAGACAAAGAAGCAAGTGATGGTTTCTGGCCTCAAACATAGGAGGGCCCTTCAACAAAGTTGAATAAGGCCCCAAAAAATGGTGTTTTAAAGTTATTGACCAAACCCAAAACAATGCACATGCAAGCTTAAAATACTATGCAAAATAAGGCCTAAAAAGAGGTTTAAACACAGAGCAAAAAGGGAGCCTCAAACAGCAAAATACCCTTAATCAAACATGAAGAGAGGGTCAAAATAAGGCTATTTACAGTTCGTACCAGAGCCCAAAAATATAAGCACAAGGGTCTAAAAAAACATGCAAAAATATGGCCAAAAGAGAGATAAAGAGGCAAGTGACAGATGGAAGCCTCAAACAGTGAAGAGCCCTTCAACAATGTTGAATAAGGGCTCAAAATAGGCTACTCTAAAGTTTACAACCAAGCTCAAAACAGTTTATAAATAGGCCTAAAATACTATGCAAGAAAAAGGCATACAAGAGAGGTAAAGAAGAAAGTGTAAAAAGGAAGCCTCAAACAGGGAGAGACCCTTAAACAAACATGAAAAAGACCTCAAAAAATGCTATTTTCAGTTAGGGTCGGAGCCCAATAATGTAAGCAAGTATGGCTTAGATATAGAACAAAATAGAGCAAGAAAGAGGGAGGAGAGGGCTTACCCTTGAAGACCAAGTCTTTGACAACTCTTGGCTTGAGTTTGGTGGCTCCTTAGCTCTGGAAGACAGCTCCAAGTGGCTGGGATGGATGGTGGTAGTGTGGTGCTAGGTAGTGGTGTAGAAATGGTGTAGGGTTTGAGGGATTTTGAGGGTTGGAGTGTAGAGAGAGAGAGATACAATACAAGGGCCTAAGGAAAATTTTTGTAACCCTCAGATGGGAGCTAGAGCTGCTGTTATATAAGAAAAAGAGGGGTGAAAAGAGGGGGAAAAAATGGGGAGAAATGGATTCAAGTTACCCCTCAAAAGTGCAGCCCCCCGGATACAAAATCTGGGGGGAAACAGAATACATTTATGTAAAGTACCTGGAGAGAGGATCATGGCCGGCTGCTTTTCTAGGGTTTAGGTGGCCGGCCGGCCTTCCCCATGGCCGGCTAGCCAAGTGTCAAAAGGGTCAATCATGATTGATGGCCGGCCATGCCAAAAAGAAGGCCTCCCATGTGTGCACAACACAACCATGTGGTCAAAAACTAGAGAAAGTAAATCAGGAGAGAGAAAAGCCCACTTTTAGGAGGGGTTCAAAAGGGTCACACACAATTATTGGCCAGCCATGTGATATTGGTGGCCTCCCAGGTGTGTACAACACGAATATGTGGTTTGGCACAAGAAAAAGTGGCCTTAGGGTGGTCAACATTGGCTTTTAAGTGAGAAAAGCGGGCGACGGAAGACGATGGAGGAATAAAACTGGTTGTCAGAACAATTGCTGGCCTCCCACCCTACTACGACCTTTTTAGCAATGAAACAGAGGTCCCTGCCAAAAATGAACTCAAACCGATGCAAAATGAAGGTTCGGGGGCCGAAACGAGCAGCCCGAGGCCCCGAAAACTAACTGTTAGGCACCGGAAGTGGCGTTCGACCACGAAATTGGTCTCTCGAGCCACAGTGTCCCTCAAAAGGGAGCAAATAAGATGCATGCCAAAAACCAGAGAAAACGAAGGTGGTTAAGCTGTCCCGAACCAAGGCACACGGCCAACGGCTCCGAAAAATCGGAAACCGAACTCCAAACGGGCAAAATGGCCTACGACCACGAAACGTAGCCTACGGCCACTGAGAGATGATCTACGAGACCTCTCCCTCCCTTCGGAAAGAGAAAACAAAGAAAACAGAGCCTGGTTCGCAAACCGAGGCAAATCATGAAAGAGTGCGGAAGTCCGGAGGCAAGGCTCGCGGCCGAGACTCTGAAACTTCTGAACGAGCACAATATGCACAATCACCGAGCGCTCAATCGGTGACGTCTGAGTCTTAAGGTCGGTCAAAAATGGGGTTTCTACACAAGCCCTTTGCGGTTAGGCAAAGCCTCACACCGGTGCAACAAAAAAAACATTGACTTGTTTCCCCCAAGATACAATAGCCCGACTAAGTCGTATAGTTAACCAATACTGCACAATTAGTTGAACCCAAAGTTTAATCACATACACCCTTTTTATTTGCTTGATAATCTCACAAATAAGAAACTTGAGCTACCAATAAGAGAGGTGAAAGTCTCAATTTATAGGAGAGGAAAGCTTAGTCACCAAGAAAGGGGTTAACTTAGAGGAAAAGTATAGGAGAGGAAATTGGTGGGAAATTGCCTTGGAGGCTTGGTGGATAAGAATGAAGACTTGACTTGGAGACTTGGTGGGCAAGTTTTCTTGGAGAAAAAGAAAGGATTAACTAGAAGAACAAGTTATTTGGAGTCCAATCATACAATATAATCTATAACACATTATAATATTAAAATATCTGCTTACACAAAGCATTGCTTAAATTGATTCATTTTAGCCCTTTTAAATGTAAGAGGCTGATTCTCAATTTCTTTAATTTTCAACAGAAAATATTTTTTAGCTGTGATTTCAAATAAAATATTGTTTGAGAATTTGTAGTCTACACATTGAGGGGAATTTGATGTGTAATTGTCCCAAAAATAACTACTTTTTGATAACTTCACACAGAACAAATCACACCATAATTCTAATTATATACCTCAAATGATGCAAACAACTTTTTTTTTTTTTTTTTTTTTTTGTTCACCAGGTATCCTGGCCGGTGTATGCTCATCTTGACTAATTCTAGGACTCACACAAAGCGTCCCCTCCATGTGTTGTTGACTGGGTATCCTGGTCAATGTATACGCACCTCGACTAATTTCATGACTCAAGCAAAACGTCCCCCTCCACACAGATTGGGAAAATTTCGGGAAAGCTCTCAAGTGTGACCTGAAGGAGTTGATAACTCCTAGTAGGAGTTGAATTTGAGACTTAAAGGAGCATATACCCAAATCCCAAACTACACCCACTAGGCTAATTCCTTGAAATTGATGATGCAACCTACTATTAAAGAGACTATTTCACTCAAATTACTCACTTGTATTTTCTGTAATTGGTTATGTGTGACCAAACTTACTGTTTAAGTTTCAAGTGTTGTGGTTGACTATTGTTATTATTGGGGTTAAGGTTTGAGTTGATTGAGAAAATAAGGATTTTTTTTTCTTGATGTGTGTGTGTGTGTGAGAGAGAGAGAGAGAGAGAGAGAGATTGCTTGTAAGTTTATTCTTGTTAGTATTTTTTTTTCTTTTTTTTTTCCTCATGTGATGAATATATGAGTTAAAGATACATCTTTACTTGTTTACTGAAATGCTCTAATAAATTACCTTTTAACGAAGGAAAATGATAGGCAGTGCTTAATTTTGGTATGTGTGTATTATAATTACATGAAATAGATGAAAAGTATAATAAAATATATGAAAATATGTACTATAATTATAATTTTTTTTTACTATATTTGAATAAGAATGTATAAAACCTGGATTGATTACAGACATAACTTTTTAACACACATATATGGATGATGTATCTCCATCATAATTTTCCATTACTAAAATGATGTTCAAGAAAATCAAACTTTCTACAATATCATATGTTGGATACACTCAATCTTCTAAAATAAAGATTGTTGCAAACTAACTTGTACATTATATATAATTGTTACAACAAGTTCTTGCTCTATTAATGAGCCATTAGAATGAGGTAAAGCATTCGGGTTCAGATGAATTTGAGTCGTCACATGGAGAGTGGTTGTGTCTTCCTTCATACGTTGTTATCACCATTCGACAATCTTCTGATAATCGTTCAACCCGCTTCTTCACTCTGCAATTACTGTGTGTGCAACGATAATAGCTCCTGCGATCAACTCCAAAAATTGAGAAAACAAAATGACAAGAAAACTTCTATTTGTTGATAAATAACTATGTACACTTATTGCAAAGTAATTAATAATAAAAAAAAGGATCCTGCTAACAACATAAAATGATAAATAATTTATAATCTTAATACAATTTTCACATATCTCAAAATACTTTCACACATTTTAATGCATTTTAATATATTTTTTACACATTTCCTTAACACTAACAACAATATTCCTAAGGTCTATTTTTAGCATTTCCTATAATAAAAGACATCTAGTCTAGTTAAGTAGAAGTTCGAATAAGAAACAAACTCTTTGAACTTGAGAATTCTGGTACTAAACTTTTAAAAGCTTGTAAAACACTTTGGTTGGAACAAAAGTTGAAAATGGAAGGATTCAAGGTGCGGATAAGTTGTTTTTCTTTGAAACTATATTTGAAGTTAATATTCTCAAAATTTGTCGTAATTAAGTTAAGATAAATGTTCTTCTAGAAAACAATGAAAGAAAATATTCGAGATCCCTAAAAAATATTCTTTAATTTGATCTATAAAGACGTGACCCATTACATGACACATTACATGTTAACTTTTGATTTGCAACAAATTTAATCAGACCTAACTCCCTGTTCACATCATTGTGGATGTATTTGAATATTTAAATTGTAAGTGTCAAACATTTCTGTATAATGAAACATTCTATAGACTGTATTGCACATTTTTTTTTCTTTTTGTCAGTCCAAAGAGAAATTATTGACCGTATTGCACATTGATGAAACTAATGCAAGAATGTAGAATTAGGGAAAATAAAAAAAAAAAAGGAGAGACCAAGAATTTTATAATCTTCCATTCAATAAAGGCATAGAAGGTTTAATTGAATGTGTTCCAAATGGTGAAAGAACTAGAGTACCTATACAATTTTTTGTTTTTTTTTTTTTAATTAATAGGAGAATAAGGAAATAGACAATGCTGGCACCTAGGCTAGTTGTCAAAGATAGTGAGCTAGTAAACTCTACCATTTAGTTCATTTCGGTTGCAACCCAAGTGATCACGAGGATACATTCACTTTCGAGTAAATGGAGTGACCTTGACCTAAGTAATATGGTAATTTAATTCCTATTAGTTACTAACCAAAATAAAAAAACTCAAGCATTTATTTGTGTATTTGTTTTGTTTTATTTCTGTCACATTTAGTTATGTTATTTGATTAACCACTCCAATGACAATTGAATTTGAGAGGAGAATGACGTGCTAGTTTGGAGAAGTGCTTGTGCTTGCTACTATAGATCTTCAAAAGATGGAAATCATATGAACTTGAAATTTTAAGCATAACGGTTCACAATTTTTATTAATTTATATGAGATCAAATTAGCTCATGACTAAACACTACAGAAGTCTCGTAATATCACTTCAATGATAATATATATATATATATATATACACGGTGTAAAAAAAAATTGCACAGTAAATTTTGAAAACTAACGTTGATGATCATGATTAATATGTATTATATGGTTCACGTTTACCATTATAGTAATAAAACTAAATTGGGTGAAGTAATTTTCATTGTTGTTTTGTGATATTTTCCATATATATATATATATATATTTATAAGATTTTATAATCAAAGATCACTTTATTTCATAATCAAATACCGCAAGCCTCTTAGCCAAGATCAATTTGATTTATCAATAATATTACTGACCTAGACTTAATTATTTAAAAATTATTCAGAATTATCATCTTGTGATTCAAATTTTATTGGGAATAGGAAGTTTCACTGTAATACTTTTATGCTCTTGTCCTCCCTTTTTAATTGATGTTTACTCATGTGCTTTGTATGCTTGCTTTCATCAATAATATTTCTTTCCTTTTGCCGTTCAAATAGATATATATTCTACGCATAGACTTTCACATTGTACAAATTTAATTTTAACCATATAACTCTTATTTGGGATACATTTGCGCTCCGTTTGGTTAGGATTTCAAATTATAATTTCACCCATTGATTTGAATATATTGTTTGTTTTGAACTTTCAAATTATAATTGTACACCTATTTCTCAAAACTCAATTCAAAACATAATCATTACTTTTCAAAATTCATAACCAAACACATAATTCAAAACTCTTTTCAAAACTTAATTCAAATCAATATTTTAATTTTTAAAATATTTTAAATATTTAAATATTTTAAAAATATTTTATTTTTGTTAAGATTTTAAATATTTTAATATTTAAATATGTTACGATTTTTTGAATTTTTTGAATATTTTTAAATATTTTAATTTTTAAATATTACCATTTTAATTTTGTAAATTTTATAACAATAAATTCAAACTCTATTTTATAAAAATATTTTTAAATATTTTAATTTTTAAATATTACCATTTTAATTTTGTAAATTTTATAACAATAAATTCAAACTCTATTTTATAAAAATATTTTTAAATATTTTAATTTTTAAATATTACCATTTTAATTTTGTAAATTTTATAACAATAAATTCAAACTCTATTTTATAAAAATATTTTTAAATATTTTAATTTTTAAATATTACCATTTTAATTTTGTAAATTTTATAACAATAAATTCAAACTCTATTTTATAAAAATATTTTTAAATATTTTAATTTTTAAATATTACCATTTTTAAAAAGAGTTTGGTTATGAGTGTTGATCAGAATTTTCAATAGTGTGAAAGTCGTGTGTTTTGTTATAAGTTATAACAATTTGAATTAAGGTTTGAAAATTCTTTCCAAAACTCATAATCAAACAAATTTTCTTACTTTACATGTCAAATCAAACTTTCAAAACTCAATTTAACACTCAATTCAAAACTCAATTCAAGACTCGCTTCAAAAATTATAACCAAACAAATTTTCTACACTCAAATCATAATTCCACAACTCACAAATTCAAAATACAGCTCATACTCTTAAATTATATTTATAAAATTTTACCAAACGCAACCTTAGAATTTGTAAGTGAGATTCATAACATTTTTCTTGACTTATACACCAATAAAATAATAATAATAATAATAATTCATAACTAAGGTCGCTTCAATTCATAGCAAAGCCAACTACCACAAGGCCCTGTAATTGAGCTCCCTACAGATTTACGGCCAAAAAGTTTCATAATTATTCCCTCATGTATTACTTGATTCATAAGTGAAATCACAAAATCTCAAAACAAAGACTGATACACACCTTTTAAGAGTACTACAGAATTTTCCAGTAATCTACACCTATATATATATATATTAAGAAAAATAAGATTTTTAATCCCTAAGTCTTGTAGGAGGTTTAATATCCTAATCTTAATTCTAAATTTTTTATTAAAAAAAAAACCTCAGTATTTATTGATTTGGTCAAAATTTTTTGATTAGTATTTATTAACTTTTTTCAATCTACATGTCTTTTCACATGTCTGCATTTATTGATTTCGTCAAAATTCCTTGATCAGTATTTAAAATCCCATCATATAAATAATTATAGATACAACTCATGCATATCTCCCATACACTATGGTTAGTGATAAGATTATTAAATTATTTTAATAAAAAATCTAAAAAACATAATTTATATATTAAAAAAATCTAAAACAAATATAAATATTTATAATTATTCTGTGCATAACACACAGGTGATAGACTAGTTACTCTTATATTTTTAAAAAGTACTTAGTAGTAAAAGGCATAAAACAAGCATTGATATTCAAATTTAAGATTCAGAAACAATCTAAAAATTTTATTGCCTCCGTTTGGAAAGTGTGTTGGCTTTTTGGCTTTTTGACTATTTTAGCCTGGGCTATTTTAGCCTGGTTTGGGAAGGGCTTTTTGACTTTTTGGCTTTTTTGACTTTTTTTGTGAGAGAGGATTGTAATGATTATGGGTTAGATTTGATGTTTTGTTTTTTGTGGCTAAAATAACCTATTTTGTTTTTTATGACTATTTTAGCCAAAAAAGCCTGGGCTTTTCCTTCCCAAACAGAGGCTAAATTTCTACCTTAAGAAAAAACGATCCAATAATAATTTGTTTACTGAAAAAAAGAACTCTATCACCCTCCGCCTGTGGAATGTATGCATTAAGAATCTCCTGCAATGTATGCATTAAGAATCTCTTTGAGCTCTCATTTTTTTTTTTCAACAATGCAACGCATCTAGAAAAAGAATCTAAAAAAGACATAAGTGGGTCAAATTTTTTTTCAATGTAACTCACATCACATCGTATTTAAATCTAAATTGTACATTGCATTTTTAGAATACTTTTTCTTGGTTCGTAGCTTCCTGTTTATTTTGTTTTTAGTTCTCTCCTTTTTTTTCTCTTCAAAAAATTCAGGAATTAATCTACACAAATGTGAACTAATTTCATAGACATTATTCTCTAAGAAGAGAAGAAGAAAAAGGGAGAGATTAGTGTTGGAAATTTGTGGCTGCTTGAAAGGGGATATTATAATTTTCACTTAATCCTATTTTACTACACCACACTTCATCTCACTTCCCTTATTTGTTATCATAATTTAACGAAACAACTACTAAATCCACTACTGTAAATTTGATTGAACTTACCAAATCTCATTCCCCATATGATAACTAAATGAATTCTTTCCTCTTTCATAGATAATAGATTAGTCAAACAAAAGTTCTTTCAAAGTAGACATGCCTGAAAGTTCTAGTTCTTTGATTTGGTCGATGTGAGACTCTTTTTTAGCATTCTCTTCTTCAATCTCCTCAAATTTCACAACTTACTTTTCTTTTTCTTAAACTTCGACCCAAATTCCAATTCCTTTTTTCAATTTGTCTTCTTTTCTTTCTTCAACTATTTCTTCAACATTGATCCTCTATAGTTGCTTAATTTCAATGAGATGATATACTTCTCTAACATAGTATCAGAGAGAGTTGATAGTCACATTTCAATTGGTCATGCATGGAATCATGATATTCCCCATTTAGGTGTGTTCTTTTTAAAATCTAGATCCTCACACAATTTATATATGTACCTTCACACACACAATCAAGACACTTTTGAGCTGAACTGATACCTCAAACTTCAAGACTCTAATGAACTCAACCTTTTTAATGTATCTAACTAATGGGGAAATCTACAACGTGCACCCCTAAAAAGATGTATATTATTAGAAAGTTACGATTTTTTGTAGTGAAAATTGTAAATGCATATTATAAGAAAGTTACGATTTTTTGTAGTGAAAATATTTGTGGTGTATTATGCCACTTTGTGGCAAAGTAACGAATAGTGAATTTATAGTGTGTACCCTAAAATTATGAATTGTGAAATTAAGGAGTGGTTTGAAATAATCTAAATAAATGTACTTTTTGACTTTTTATGAAATATGAGTTGGGTATGAGTTGGGTTTGAAGTGATGTGATAGAAATGTGATGTGACGTGATAGAGATGTGATGTGACTTAAATAGAATGATGTGACTTAGATAAGATAGTGACCTTTTGACTTTTTTAGGTTACGACAAATAAGGCCTAAAACACTTTTTGATATTTGTCATCACACCTTATGATGAGAAAAGTTGTAACGTTTTGTAATGAGAAAAATAATGACATTTTGTGGTTTGTGTTACAAAAATTTATGAAATTTTATAGAAAAATTATGGAAAGTGTGGAAAGATATGAATTGATTCTCATTAAAATGTAAAGATGAGCAAAGCTTCTATATATACAGAAGTGGTTACAACTAACTAACACTATCTAACCTCTCTTTACTCTATAACAAACGTGCACTTATTCCTAACCGACTAGATATTTTCTTCATCTTCTTTCGCACTTGTTGCTTTATATGCATTGCATATATTAGCAGTCTTGCCACCTGTCAATGGTTGCTTAACATCCCCTGCAAACTCATGGGGGAAGAAAACACCATGAGTTTGTCTTGAATACATCGAAAACATGGTAAAATGTTGGCTAATTGATCAATGGTTGGAACATATTGAAGAGAAAGTCGTTTAGCAAGCATTTGTTCACGAACATAGTGGTAATCTACTTCAATATGTTTAGAAGGGAAGTGAAAAACAAGATTAGAGGCCAACGCAAGAGCGAAAATATTATCACACCAGAGAATCGGCAATGAGGGAGAAGGTACTTACAAATTAGCCAGACATGTGAACCCAACTGAGTTCAGCTGCAGCATGGGCTAAAGCTCGATATTCAGCCTCAGTCGAAGAACGAGACATAGTGGCCTATTTCTTAGCTGACCAAGAAGCAAGATCAAAACCGAAAAATACATAACAGTCAGATGTATACTTGCGATCAGTAGTATCTCCAACCTAGTTAGAATAAGAAAATGCATGAACATCAAATGTGCTAGGTGTATAAGTCAGGCTATGAGCGACAGTTCTCTTAACAAAACGAATCACAAATGCTTGATAGTTGAGAAATCACCATTTGTAGGCGCATGCATGTGTTGACAGGCTTAATTAACAGCCAGAGAAAGATTAGAACGAGTGATAGTCAAGTATTGCAAAGCCCCAACTAGAGTACGATAGGAGAAAGATTCATAAATGGAAGACCAACTTTAGGAGAAAGGTTAGGCTTAACTAAAATAGGAGATGAACAAGTCTTACATTTATCTAATCCAGCTTTGTGGATAATTTCTTGAGCATACTTCTGCTGAGAAAGAAAATAATGGGTGGCTGTGGCTTGAACAGAAATTCCAAGAAAATAGGACAAATTCCCCAATTCTTTCATAGAGAAAGCAATGTGCATTTGAGTAATCAAAGGCTGGATATGAGAAGGATCACTGTCAGTAAGTAAGATATCATCCACATGGACAACCAAAATGGTAATGGAAGTAGATGTTTTATGAATAAAAAGAGAGGAATCACAATGACTAGTAGAAAGGCCAATTGTTTGAGAGGAATCCAATTGTTTGAGAGGCTAGCTATAATGCAAGACAAGACAAAGAATAATACAAATAGTAGAAAGCTTCGCTACAAGACTAAAGGTTTCCTGAAAATCAATACCTTCTTGTTGGAGATAGCCTTTAGCAACTAAACAAGCCATATAGCGAGCAATAGAACCATCGGAGTTGCGTTTAATCTAAACACCCACTTACACCCAATCTCATTTTTGTTAGGAGCTAAGGTCACTAAGGACCAGGTGTGTTGCTTTTGCAAAGCCCCAAACTCTTATTCCATAGCCTTAAACCAAATAGGAGAAGCAAGGGCTGCTTTATAAGTTGGGGGTTCAGAAGTAGTGTATAAAGTAGAAGAGGAAACACTCAGAGAGGTGGAATGAGAAGAGGATTTGGATCTAGTAATCATAGGATGAAGATAGTAGTTCGATGAGGAGGTGGTGGTAAATGAGGGAGAGCAACATGTATGGATTGGATAGGAAGAGGCTGTTGAACAGATGTAGATAAATGAAATGTATGAATTGGTGGGGGACTGTATAGATTAGAGGTGGCAGGGATAGAGGCATGAGGTTGAGTAATGGGAGACATAGCACCAGAAAGCAAAACAGAGTTAGATAGAGTGTTGGACTGGTTTAAAGACTGTGAGGCAACCTGATGCTGAGCTAAGAAAACAATATGTGGAAAAACTAAAGGCTGAGGCTGAGTTGCAACTTGAATCTAATTTGCAAAAGAATACTGAGCAGGCTGAGACTGAGGATGTGCCTGAGCAGCAGCTGATGCAGATTGATGGGTTGCAAAGGAAACATGCTGAGGCATTGTCTGATGGACAGTGGATGTAACCAATGGAGATGCCCAAAAGAAAGACTGAATAGTATCCAAAGAAGAAGACTGAGACAAAAGAGTAATAGAGGGAAAAGTATAAGCAATTGAAAAAGGGAACACAGTTTCATTAAAAATCATATGCCTAGACAAATAAAGCTTACCAGATTTAGGATCAAAACACATATAGCCTTTAGCAAAGGGATAATAGCCCCAAAATACACATGAAACAGATTTTGGATAAAGTTTAGATGAAAAATATAGCATGAGCCAAGAAAAACATTGACAACCAAACACCCTAAAGAAAAAGTAATCAGGTATAGAATGAAAAAGTACATGATAAGGAGACTTATTAACAAGAATAGAATATGGCATTTGGTTAATAAGAAAAGTAACAGTAGCAACAACATCAAACCAAAAATGAAGAGAGAGAGAGAGAGAGAGAGAGAGAAGCATAAAGAATTAAAGTAGTGAAAGTTTCAATAATATGTCTATGTTTTCGCTTGGCCACACCATTTTGAGGTGATGTATATGGACATGAATGTTGATGAACAATCTCATTGATTAAGAGAAAAGCTTGCATTTGTTTATTGAAAAATTCAGTACCACCATCAGTTTGAAAAACTTGAAGTGAAGTGGAAAATTGCTTCTCAACATAGCATTTGAATTCAACAAATCTAGCAAACACTTCACTCTTGTAAACTAACAGATATAGCCAAGTAAATCTATACAAAAATGACATAAAACTTGAAACCAGATGTAGATTTATTGAAGGGACCCCAAACATCACTGTGGATTAAGGACAATGGTTGATGTGCGGGGAGCAAATATTCAGGCAAGCCCGTACTCCTTTCTTCCAAGCTTCGCTTCTATCCGATCACCTACGTACACAAAGGCGGTGAGCTACCCGGCGGTGTGTGGCCGGAAAACCCCTCCGACGGTCAAGTTAGAACACACACCAGAGGATAGATAGAGAGAATGGAGAGAATTGTGTTTAGTGTTTATCTCACCAAAAATGTCCTGTCCCCAGCATGGGGGCGCAGACTTGCTTATATATCTTCTGTGCCCCAAATCTACTCCCAGTGATCTCTCGACACGTGGTTCTACTATTCCATCTGTCAGCATAAATCTTGCTGAGCATCACCTAACCCAATTGCCAGCCCACTCTACTGGGAGCTCGGCAGCCGGGCAACATTATCTCGGCTACCAATAGCCATACTCCACTTTAAGCCCAAGCGCACTTGACGGCGTAATGCTCCTCCAACTGGGCTCGACTGCATTCCAACGAAGCCGAGATGGAGGTTGATCAACTTTGTCCTGCTGGGCTGAGGGCGCGTGTATTACAACCGAGCAACGCGTGAGCTGTGAAACCCTTACCTGACTGAACCTTAACCTG